TTAAAAGAACAAAGGAGGACAAGGCACCAAAAAAATGGGAGGACCTTCCAAATAAAAGCTAAAAAACACTCGGAGGAAAATGAATTCATGGCTCTTAGTCATGTTCAAAATGGAGGACATTTTGAAACTCCTGGAAAGAAGGTCAAAATGGAGGACAGGTCCTGGAAAAAGAAGACATCCGGTCACTGTGGAGGAAGGAGGCTTCAGAAAGTTACAATTATTGTTAATATTAATTGTATTCATTTTTTTTTCCTGCCTCTCCCTATGGGTGGAGGTGGGGAACAAAAATATATATTTATCAATTTTAGTTAAAACATAGATCAGTTTAAAAAATAAATGAGATACATACAAGGGGACCAGATGTCCTAACTACAAAGGAGGACAAGGCTCCAAAAAATTGGAAGACCCTCCAAAATAAAAGCTAAAAACACTCCTATAAATATAAATGCATGCTTTTTCATCATACTCAAAATGGAGGACATTTTGAAACGCTTCTGGATGGAAGATTAAAATGGAGGACAAGTCCCGGAAAAGGAGGAGATCTGGTCATTCCAGTGGAGGGAGGCTTCAGAAAGTTAAAATTTTTATTAGTAATAGTAATAATATTTATTTCTTATCTGTCTCTCCCCATGGATGGAGGTAGGGAACAATAAATAATATTTATCAAATTAAGTGAAAACATATTATCAGTTTAAAAGAACAAATAAGACACACACAGAGGGACCAGATGCCCCAACCACAAAGGAGGACGAGGCACCGGAAGATGTAGGACAGCCTAGAAAATTGTAGGGTCCTTCAAAATAAAAGCTAAAAGCACTGCTATAAATGTAAATTCATGCTTCTTCATCATGCTCAAAATGGAGGACATTTTGAAACTCCTGGAAAGAAGGTTAAAATGGAGGACAAGTCCCAGCAAAGGAGGAAGTCTGATCACTGTAGAAGAGGGAGGCTTCCAAAAGATTGCAATTATTATTATTATTATTATTATTATTATTATTATTATTATTATTATTATTATTATTATTTATTAATTTCTTACCTGCCTCTCCCCATGGATCGAGGCGGGAATAACAAATAATTAGGTATCGCTTATCCATCTCTCATAGATCAAGGCAGAGAACAACCACAGATCAACAAATATACATCAGTTAAAAACACAACTTTGCTTAAAACATATATCAGTTTAAAAGAACAAACAAAATATATACAAGGAGACCAGATAACCTAACGACAAAGGAGGACAAGGCACCGGAAAATTGTAGGACCTTCTAAAACAAAAGCTAAAAACACTGAGGAATATAAATTCATGCTTCTTAGTCATGCTCAAAATGGAGGACATTCTGGAGAGAAGGTCAAAATGGAGGACAGGTCCTGGAAAAGTTGGATGTCCCATCACTCTGGAGGAGGGAAGGAGGTTTCAGAAGTTAAAATTTATGATTATGATTATTTCTTACCCACCTCTCCCCCACAGATGGAGGTAGGGAACAACAAATAATATTTATTGAATTCAGTTAAAACATACATCTGTTTAAAAGGAGAAACAAGACGCATACAAGGGGAAATGATGTCCCAACCTCAGAGGAGGACAAGGCACTGGAAAATGTAGGATGGGCCAGAAAAAAATTGTAAGACCCTCCAAAATAAAAGCTAAAAGCATTCCTATTAATTAAATTTAATGCTGCTTTGTCTTGCTTAAAATGGAGGACATTTTGAAACTCCTGGACGGAAAGTTAAAATGGAGGACGACAGGTCCCGGAAAAGGAGGAGGTCTAGTCACTGGAGGAAGGAGGCTTCATAAAGTTAAATTTTAATAATAATAATAATAAATAATAATAATAATAATAATTGTTTCTTACCTGCATCTCCCCATAGATTGAGGTGGGGAACAACAAATAATATTTATTTCTTAGCCACCTCTCCATGGATCAGGGCAAGGGAACAACCATAAAACACAACTTCAGTTAAAACATATTATCAATTTAAAAGAACAAATAAAACACATGCAGAGGAATCAGATGCCTCGACCACAAAGGAGGATGGGACACTGGAAAATGTAGGACATTCATGAAAAATGTAGGACCTTCCAAAATTAAAAAACAAAAGCACTGCTAGAAATATAAATTCATACTGCTTAGTTGTGCTCAAAATGAAGGACATTTTGAAACGCCTCCTGGACAGAAGGTTAAAATGGAGGACAGTTTCAGGAAAAAAAGTAGGCCTGCTCACTGCAGGAGGGAGGCTTCAGAAAGAAGATGATGATAATAATGCTTGATGATGATGATGATGGTGATGATATTTATTTCTTACCTGCCTCTTATGGATTGAGGCAGGGAACAACAGACCAAGAAATATGCCTTAGTTAAAAACACAGCTTCAGTTCAAAGAACAAACAAGACATACCTATTAAAATAATCTGTGTTTAAAACAGGGCTTTTAGCCAGTCTCTACAGGACTCTCCAGAAAACAAAATAACTAAATTTTCTCTTTTCTCCCCTCATTCCTGCCTGCTTAGGTTCCCCAAGTTTAGTTCTGGCAGACAGATTGAGCTTCCAAGCAATTCTTAAAAATGTTGCAATGACTGGGGAAGAAATTCCAATGCAGAAAACCCTGTTTTGATTTCAGTTGTTGTTGCTGTTACTGTTGTGTGCCTTCAAGTTGTTTCCGACTTACCGCAACCTTTAGGCGAACCTATCATAGGCTTTTCTTGGTAAGATTTGTTCACAGGGGGGTTTGACATTGCCTTCCCCTGAGGTTGAGAGAGTGTGAGTTGCCCTGGTCACCCAGTGGGTTTCATGGCTGAGCTGGGAATCGAACCCAGAATCTCCAGAGTCATATTCCAGCTCTCAAACCACAACACCACATTGACTGTTGTGATATTGGAGGGGGGAAGGAGCAGGGCTTCAAACAAACCCAAGATAGTAGAATGCTTAATTGCTACTCCTTTTTTGCTCTCAGTCTTGGAGCTGTCTGGATATTTATTTATTTATTGCCCTAAATATCTGCCAAAGCTGCATCCTATGCAATCCTGGGATTGGCAGTTTAAAGAGGCATGCTTAGCATTAGCCAGAGAGCTTCACTAATCTCTGTAACCAAATTACAAATCCCAGGATTCCATAGGATGTAATTAATTATGTTTTAATGTACCATTTTTGTTTGCTTTTCACTGTACTGTTTTTGTTTGTTTGTTTGTTTGTTTTAGTATTGTAAGTTGCCCTGAGTCCCAGTTTTGGGGAAAGGGTGGGATATAAATAAATATAATGGATGATGATGTAGCCAGGGCAACTATAGTGAAATCATGTTGTTGTTTGCCTTCAAGTCATTTCTGATTTATGGCGACACAAAGGAGAAACTATCATGGGGCTTTCTTGGCAAGATTGTTAAGAGGAGGTTTGCCATTGTCTTCCCCTGAGGGTGAGAGAGTGTGACTTGCCCAGAGGCACCCAGTGGGTTCCATGGCCAAGCTGAGAATTGAACCTTAGTCTCCAGAGTCATAGTCAAACCACTACACCATGTTGGCTTTCTCATACTTCTATAATTTATTTGACCATGATCTGTTTTGCTGATGTTTCATTGCTGTGACTTTAAAAAATGACTTACCTACTACATGAGTTATGTTTATATTGCTTTTCATTCTTGGAGCATTAACGTTTTATTATGTAATTATATTTTTCTTTTAGTTTTATTTGTCAGATTGGCTGAACTTGATCTGGAGACAGACTGTACTGGTATTTAAACAAACAAATTAATGTGGGGCAAGTCAAAAGGCAGGTAATCAGTTATATGCTCTTAGCTTTTAATACAGGGATAGGCAACCTTTCCCCTTTAAGGGCCGAGGGACTT